GCTGCTTCCCATGGTCCGGCATGTACCACTCCATCATACGTCACACCCCTCTGACCAAACTGACACCACTCCTCAGGCTTGCGCCTCAGCTCATTGCCTTTTCAGCTCCACCTCACAGGACATCGTACCTGTTTGTCCATCGGCTCCCCATCCACAGGAATAGATCTCTCCTTTCTCTGTCCTAAACAGACTGTGATCCTGACCACAGACAACCTGTGTAAGAGAGAACCTACACAGAACTGCATGCACAATTTGTACTTGTACACCCAGACTACAAAGAAAAACCCATGATGAAGCTCATTAAAATTATGTCTAAGACACCTCCAACCAGTCATCCAGTGGGTTGAGGGGGGAGAGGAAAGGAGAAATCCAGTACACCAGACCAAGAATTTATCTGCTTTGTGTTACCAATTTGCTTGTTACTGAGGTGAACATGGTCTGGGAACTAAGTATAGGCCTAAACATTTTTCTCATCTTTTAGTCAAAGTTGTTACCTGCACAACTCTTCCATCAAACTCCTGCAGTCGATTTATCACATGGCTCTCACTATTCACCATTAGGCAGGCATCGAAACAAAGACAAGGAAGGAAAAAATTGCAAGTTTACCACACTGAATTTTAAGCACTTTCTTGTACACATTGTTACAGTTTTTAATCAGTTCTCCCCTGGCTGTGGGGCAGGCAGTTTCAAGCCTGACTAACTGATCTAGGAAGGTAGTAGACACAAGGTTCATGAATTCAGGGTTTGACTGAACTCTCTCAAAGGCATCATCTGAGCTACAGTGGTTTGCTGCTGTGGTCCTTCTTGGCCTTGTCTTTATTCCTAGTCCCCCGTTCATCCCCTTCCTCCCTGGGGCCTACAAAGGACAGGTGTGCTGACACTACTCCCATTCGTAGAGACCAGGTATGCAAGACAAGGATGGTGGTCTCACTTGAGGCTGAACAGGTTCTGCTCTCGCTTCCTCCCTCAAGCCAGTATGGAGAAATTTCACCTCCCCCTCCCTCAAGGGCCGAATCTGGTACGCGCAAGTGTTTGGCACCATAGGAGTCATGGGCATCACAGAAGCAGTGGCACAGCACTGGTTCACCCCACCAACCAGCTTCCTTATGGCCTCTCTTCCTTAGCATCACTCCCAGAACCAGATTTGAACTCAAGAGCTACTTCAAGTTACATGATCCTCACCAATTTAGGATACCAATAAAATTCAAATTTACTATTTCTTGGACCTGTCACTCCTCATCAACTCCCTTTCAGTTCTATTTCTCCCCTGGATCCCACAATATTTACACGAGACACCCCATTCCATGTCATTAAGTTCTTTGTTATTCTCACCTATAAATTTCACCTTCAACTACTTCTCGACCACACTGCCCGTACGAGTTGTTTCCCATGCTGAAGACTGAAAAAGAAACATACACATACACCTACAGTTACAGCAGCTCTCTGAAGCAGCATCAAGCATTTTTTTCCTCCCCTCTAGGGCCTGACTGAGGTCTACACAAAGCTTAATGTCCACATACATGTTTCTCAAGCAGTACCAGGTATGGCAGGCTCCCACTGTCTTTGCCTGAACCTAGGTTAAACAGGGCAAACACATTTTTACTAAAATGACCCAAGTTCCTACACCCTAAGCATCACACACCCTCGACGTCATCGCTTATTCCTCTCAAATTGCCTCTCTCATTCTCCCACTGCTTAGACTTGGCAATGAGATCATTATTCCAATAAGAACGCTGCATCAAACGATTACCTCCACCAGTGATCAAGAACTAGTAAGATGCTAACTAGCATGCTGAAGGATTCCCTGCACAGCAGAGAGCCCATTCAAGCAAGGAACCTTCTTTATAAAGGTTTATTTATTCATTACAAAGGCAATATTTAGGGGCTTCTCAAGGAAGATACCTTGAAGGAATTGGCATAGCTGCTGAAACAAAATTAGCCAATGTCCTTGGTGAAACATGACCGATTTCTTACACTTAGCACGCCCCAGCGCTAGACTTGCCAGCTTTATTTTATACTGCTTACAATGCACGCATATATACAGCTTCAGCCAAATGAACACCTAGCACAAGGAATGGGGTTTCAAGCTTAGAGTTCTGCCTCTGTGCTTCAGGAACTTTTCTGTACATTAATTTTACACCCTTTATCAGCTTTGGGTTTAGCTTCTAAAGAAGGAGGAAAGAAAGCATACACTCAGGCACTCAACTGCCACCACCACAGATCGTACCTCCTTCATGGTCCGTCAGGACGAGGGAATGGGCTCTCCCACAGGAGACCTGCAACACTCGAGTCTCCTGGGGCTTCTCCAGCGGCAATGGAATAGGAGATGGCTCCAAGACATACTCGTAGCTTTTTGCTTCAAGGAAAAATATAACAGGCCAGCAAATAAGCAAGCTAAGTTTGCTTCCGTAACAGTTACACAGACATTTATGATCCAGAAAGCACATGCACTCGCTCAAACAGACAGCCAATCTAGTTCCCTCCCCACCTATCATGAGGCTATCAAGATGACCAGAGACACACCCCTGGAAACAACAAGCAAGATGTACGGAGACAACAAGTTCCAGGCAGTCAATTTCGAGACGGCTGGAATTGAGCCCCCTCGTTTCTGCCAACTACTAAATCACAAGCTCACATCCTGCTTCACAAGCACTGGACAGTTTGGGTTAAGCATGCAGATAGCGTGTTTGCTGAACAGCGTCAGTGTTTCTGCAGCATTAAAACTAGCACGGGAGGCAGAGGGACCCCCGTATCTTCTAAAAGCAAACGTTATATTTGCTCTCAGAAAGGCCGCAGAAGTCTGAAAACACAACCAGAAAACAACGGTCCGGAGGCAGCCAGAGCAGGAAAGCAGCTCCGCACCCGCGGTTCGCTCCCTGCAGCCCCCCCAGGGCCGAGCCCCTTACTTCGGTCCTTCCGGCTCCTCTGGAAGCTGAGCTGCGAGTCCTTGTTCAGCCCCATGCCCCACACTTTGGTGATGTCGGGGGTTTTGGAGGAGAGCAAGGTGAAGCCATAGCCGCAGGCTACTGACGAGATCTGTAACACATGGCAGGGGTGGGGGCGACACTCCAGGTCAGCTCCTCCAGTCAGAGGCACCACGTCCGGGCCCTCCCTCCTCCCCCAGCACCAGCCTCAGCTCCCACGGGCCTCCTGCTCAGTCCTAGCCCAGGCCCAGCCCCTCTCCGACATGAAG